TATATATATATGTAGACAATTAATAGTCTTCCTATGCCCTCATTCACTTTTTCCAGTTGTCCAGTGGGCCAGATTAGAGTTGCCAGGCCACTTCTTAAGTTTGACACCCCTGCTTCTACACTGTTCCCATAAAGGATTCTAATTTTCCCAAAAGTCCCCACAAAACAAAGGAGCTTGTAACAAAAACACACTCTTCCTGGAATGTAATTACTAATATTGCAAAATCAGTGTTGTTTTATGTTCATCTGAGACAGTATTTCTGAGTGAATCTATGGACAAGAGACTGATATATGCTGATTTTTGGTTTGGAAATAATGAATTGATATTTTCTTCTCTTTGTAAGGTGACCTTGGGTATTAGAAAGGCGCCCTCAAATATAATGTATTATTATTATTATTATTAGGTATAGTTCATTTTTATTCTTGAAGTTGACTAGAGTTGCTCACAGTTCAAAATACTGCTTAAAAAGCTGCACACGTGAGGCTATATCCACACAAGGGAATAGCTCCTTTGAAATGAAAATGAAAAATATTACCTCACGGTCTGTCAAGAATATGGAAAAGCAAGAGGTAGGCATATAACCCTAACCGAGAAGAAAAGTTGGCCAGTCAAAAGTCAATAAATAACAATGCACTACACTGTCTGACATTAGAAAAGGAGGTAAAGTTCCACACCATTGATGTTGCAAGAAAAAAATCTAAATTTTCGTTGACAAAAGGCCAAAATACCCATGTACATACTACGTACATCCATTGCAGCCCTTTTCCCCAACTGTTTAGCTAGCTTTCTTTTGATTGCTGCCCCTCATTTTTATTTTATTTTTTTACAAACACCCACAGAAAATATGGAAAAAAACAATTAAAGGTCCACTTTTCACAATACTAAAAGGCTATTTAACCAAAGACCAACCCTGCTTCGAATCCCCACCTAAACATAGTCTTACACTCTCCTGAACAGGGATGTCAAGCTCACTTGACATTGTGGGCCACATACCGAGCCCACTTTGATATAAAGTAGAGTGGACCTGTGAAACTATGTGCTAAATGTGTAAAATGACAAAAAAAAAGTTATGGAAGTTCATTGCACAGACTGTCCTGTAATTAGAAAATATAACATTTTCATTCATTCACAGTGGGCTGGATATATTCTGGTGCCCAGGCCTTATGTTTGACACCCCTGGGGTAAGCACTATAATTAGTGCTTAAAGAAAATTATAACCAGCGATTTTGATTCTTTTTTTGGATCAAATTAACTTAACAGCAAACTATCCACTGTCATTCAGCCTAACACTGTTCTGCCAGTGACGGTCATGCCTCATAAATCTTCATTGTATTAGATTTTTTTTCATAACAACCTCAGCTAACCATAGTTCAACAACAAAGAGCACATTATCTCCATCCTGTGACTGAATACTTGACCCCTTTCAATTGGCCACCGTCCTCGCTTCTACTGTTAAGTCAATACTTCACATAAATCTATAAAAATATTTTACGGTAACGCTGGAAAACTGGGAAATACTATTAAGCGAAAAGGTCAAATGATCACAAGCCTATAAAGATTTATTGGACTCTCAGTGGGAAGAATGACGATATATCAGTGTTTCCCCCAAATGTTTAGCTGCGATGTGTAAAAGGTTTATCTGCAGACTGCGTCTTGTGTGTTATGAACAGGGTGGTTATCTCTGTGGTAATGGGACACAGGCAGCCATGATGGAGACAAAGACATCTGGGCGAACCGGAGCTGTGGAAGAAAACGGGCCACTGTGATATAGTAAAAAATGAGGGAACACATTTCTTCCATTTGGGGTTCTTGTGGCTTGGATCAGCTGGTAAAAGCAGATCCAACACCTGTACTACAAGTAAAAAGGATAATCTTTAAAAGCTGTTCCTGCAACCTGACCATCCAGAGTTCACATCCTACAGTAAGGGAATGTGTGTGTGTGGGCTCCGGGTGTCACATGTAATCACTGATCAATATGTTGTTTTTCAGGATGCAAGGCTGAAAGGGCACAGTGTTCGAGGGCTGAACCCGGCCTTCACTCGGAGCCTTCCTCTCCTCGCAGATCGAAGCCTGAGCCACACTCCTGCCGAGTACAGCGTGAAGATAGATCGCAGAGATACCGACCTTGACTGTAAGCATATGGAAAACCAGCATTTCTTGGAAAATAAACTTTAAAAAAAAAAAAAAAGCCATATAAACTCAACTGCTCTATGTGGTTTCCTTTTCTAACCTAGTGCTGCGATGTATGATTGGAAGAGTGTACCGGCCCTGCTGGGAAGCATGAGCGACGTCAATGAATGTTTCCTCCTGTATGGTATAAGAAGATTAATTTACTTGTAGGAAATAAAGCAGACAAACATGGAAAACAAAATAAACGTTTATTAACAATTGCAAGCTGTGTGTTTAAAGAGTGGATGTAAATGGTAGAATCTTGAAAATAATTGAAAAGGTAAAATTTACATACTAGCAGTGACGATATACATTTTATTTCCAAGAAGGCGTTATTAGACTCATTTTAAAATTGATTAGTGATAAAGTGCAATGACCAGCTTGCTTTTCGCCTAACAATGTTGGACATTTTAGTGACATTTTCAGAAAGAGTTAAATAACACTGTGGTGCACATTTCATACGAAGCCTCAGTGTAGCTTAGCATAAAAATATTAAACTCTTAACCACAATCACTAAGTCACTAAAGATCACGTGATATTTTACTGTGTGTGTATATATATAAAATACTCTAGGTTAAACAAGATGACAAATGATTCTAAATGGCAGCCCAAGCTGGAGTATACTCGTAGTACACAAGCTTCAGCTGCTTCATATAAATATCTGATAGAAAAGTCCTTATTGTGTCATCGTTAGTGCAAACACTGGTTAGACTCTGAAGAAACTGGTCAGCTTCCCTTGTCCAGCTATGAGCTTCTTCTTACTCAAGGCCTTGCTGCCATTTTTGCCAGGCATTTTGACTGATGTGCGAGTTGGCTGTTTCTTCTCCGGAGGCTCATTTTCAGATCCACCGTGTTGGTCCAGCTGCTTTCTCTTGTTACCCCTGCTTTGCATCTGAAAGCCAGTTCCCTTTCCATTAACCAGGCTTGCACCTTGTTTTGGGGCATTTCCACTTCTTTGCTCGAGAGCAGCCCCCCGCTGTATCTCACCCCGTGCCTTATTTGTACATTCAGAGGACTTGGCTGCAAATGTAAAAGAAAAACAAAAATGAAATAAATAATTAAAAAGCAAAAGTAAGTGTGACAAGTTGGTAGGGGGGAAAGGGAAAAATGTTGTGACGAAATTGCTTACGTTAGCTGCTAGTTGAAGCAGGCTGTGTGTTTATTCTCTGAACCTGAGTTTCAACATTTGTCATGTTAACCTGATGGAGCAGAGCCTGAATTCCCACGGAACAAAAAGCAGAAGGGGGAAATGGGCAAAAAGTCTGTACAAGACTGTGTGTGTGTGTGTTTTGTTTTTTTACGACAGATGTGGGGGTGAGGAGGTTTTATAGAATGGGAATTAATTTAACAGCAAGTTGTAAGTACCAGTCCCACAACTGGGACTGAGAAGGCTCCAAGGCCGGAGCTGAGAAGGTGAGCCTGGGCCTCGGTCCAGCTGTGTGCCGTCAGAGGAAACAGAAGTCTGTTCCAGCAGATAAAATGCAGCACGTCTTGTTCTGACATTTGACATGTTGCTGAGTACAAAAAAATAAAAGATGGTGGTGGGGTAGGGGGTGTAGCTTGTAAAGAAAAATAACATAAACTTTTACCTTTTGTTGAGTCTTCCACATCAGAGCTGCACCCATCATTCACAGATGTGGTGGTTTTAGCTTTGGGTGGGTGCACGCAAGTGGGAACCTGGCTAGTGCTCGGGAAGTCCAGCACACGGTTGAGAGGGAGCTCTTCGTCATTGTAAGTGCAGGCGAACTGGGATCGGATGACTCTCTCTCGGACCTGGAATAAATGCAAAACAACTGAAATCCAGCTGATATGGCGACTGGTGATCAGTATCAACAACTCAGGGCAGGTGGCCGAGATTTTTCTGGCTCTTTCTTTTGGCGTTTTGAAACAAAGACCCTTTTAAGTACTTTTCCACTCCTGCTCAGCGAGTTTCAGCAGCTGGATCTGCTAATTAGCACTGAAGTACACAAACTACTTTCTTTCCTTGCTCTGATATTGTAATCAAATGTATTATAGGCCAAACCTAAAAGGGAACATGCATATCTGCACTAAAATTCGTGGAAATCCAACCAACGGCAGTCAAGACATTTCACAGAAAGCACAACTTCTGTGGTGTTAAATCAGAAGAATTTTTGGCACATCTCAAAGAGGTTTTCTCTGGAGCTAAAGGAAAATTACCAGCGCTGCAATAAAGTTTTATTTTTTTAAACCACTTTTGTTGAGTGGGGTTTCATGTACTCAAGTGTAATAGACTTTTCTTTTTATCATCAAGAAAATGCGTCAATTTCTGTCAAATAAGGTACCACAAAACAGTCATGCTTACGTCTGAAGTAGCCCCCAAAAACGTGACTCAGAGCCAGAAAAAACACAATGTGTGAAAAGTATGGGGATCACTAAAGTCATTAGCATCAATTACCATTATTAGGTCATTGTAATCCATCCAATAGTTGCTCAGATCTTTCAATAACAAAAACAATAAAAGGGTATGGTTTTTAATTAGGGGATAAGATTCCTGGCTTTTAAAGCATGTTTTATGTTGTTTTTTTTGAACAACTAAAAGTTTAATATGTTGCTGAAATCCCAGAAATGAGAAAGATGAGATTTTCTTTTCTAGCCAACTGATGTACTGTGCATTGCTCCTATCAATTACCACATCCTTTAAAAAAAACAAAAAAAAAACCCAACAGCCAAGTTTCTATAACAAAGTGAATGATATTGAAGCCTACAATCCCAGCCCAGGGGCACACACAGATCCACAGCTTTTCATCCACTGTTTGATGTACGCCTGCTTGGGATTATCACAATCCAGGGATTTCACCCTTCAGGCCAATGGGCCACAGTAAGGAGAAGAAATGTGAGAGAGCAAAGCTTGGTGGGTCCGCGGAGCACAAAGGGGATCAAAGCCTTTGTGCTTCTCAAAAGAACTTCTTTAAAGAGGACCTAAAACAACAGAAACCCCAGCACCAAGGCACACTTCAGTAACGGAGCTACTGGTTGCATGCTAATAAAACCTAAAGAAGATGGAAGGGGATGGAAGAGCTGCACGGCCAAACTATGACCCACAGAGAACAACTAATCCAATTACAACAGGTGGAAGCCTGACATGGCACCTTGTGGTCACATAGCCCTCATTCCTCCGAACACAACTGTCCTGAAATAACCTACGTCTGACCCGACACCTGACCGAGACATTCCTGACAGCATTTTAAAAAGCAGGTGCAAGCCATTTCTGCAGCTTTGTGTTCTGACATCTGCTTTTGTAGAAGTGAGAACAAAGCAGTAGCAGGTGCAGCGGAACCAGAGCTATATATAAAATAAAATGAATATATAGCTAAAGGTGAATGCACCTCATTTGAACATCGTTACTTGTGTCACAGAGGAAGCAGGAGTTTTTCTCGTGTTTTTCAATGTTTTGATCATCTGTGGCAATAGTGGAAGGAAGAAAGAGGAGGAAAAGAAAAGAAAAAGACCTGGAAACAACCCAAAAGCAGAAACTAAATCTGTCCATCTCTGTGTGTGCCGGTTGACGTCAGTGCATGATGAAACCGCTGGAGAAGTCTAGGATAAAGTCATTTAGCAGACAACAGGAAACAATAACCTTTCAAGTTTCCCTTGCTAGTCGAGTTACGCGACTGATATGGCATCTTCAAAGTGAAATTGATGCAGAAAGCTTCCGCTCACCGAGTTCAGGAAGCGGTGAGCTGCCCAGGGACCATTACAGCGCACTCAAACAGGAAGGCAGCCAGATTGTGGGGAGCTAAAATGACATCTGGTAGCACAATCAAATAAAGGAGCTATTTCACAAAATGTGTCTAGCATACATCTTCTAATAAGTGCTTCACACTTCATGTTTGCTTAAAGGATAATAGCTTCCAATCTAGAGCTGGGTGATGCAGCAGCACTACCCTAAAAATACCTTTTTCCACCACAAGAAAAATAAAATGGCATTACCGGTATATTCTGAGAAATAAGTTGTCTTTTTTTTGTTGCTACAATTAATTTTCAGTTTCAGAAAATAGCATATCTTAGCAATTTGATCCAAGTATTACATTTCATTCAGTGTAACTCATAACAACAGTCACACTCTTTACCCTTAAAATATAAAGCAATATTTTAAGGGAAAGACAATAATACAAACAAAACAGAAAACCACCAACAATCTTGATTCCCTATGAGCAAGCACTTCGGCCACAGTGGGAAGAAAAAACTCCCTTTTGACAGGAAGAAACCTCCGGCAGAATCAGGCTCATGGAGGTGCAGCCCTAATTGAGACCAGAAAGAAGGACAAACAACACACTAGAATTTAAGATGTAAAGTGTCCTATCTCTAAGGGAGAGACCAGCTCATTTCTGCCGCTTGTATCCACAATCTCGTTCTTTCAGTCACTACCCACAGCTCGTGGCCATAGGTGAGGGTAGGGACGTAGATCGACAGGTAAATTGAGAGCTTTGCTTTTACACTCAGCTCTCTCTTCACCAAGACAGACTGGTGCCGCGTCCGCATCTCTCATCACTGGCGAACAAGACCTCGAGATACTTGAACTCATCCCTGACCCGGAGTGGGCAATCCACCCTTTTCCGGTTGAGAACCATGGCCTCAGATTTGGAGGTGCTGATCCTCATTCTCGCTGCTTCACACTCGGCTGCGAACCGTTCCAGTGCGAGCTGGAGGCCATCACCCGATGAAGCCAACAGAACCACATCATCCACGAAAAGCAGAGACGAGATTCTGAGGCCACCGAAGTGAAAGCCCTCCGCCACTTGGCTGCACCTAGAAATCCTGTCCATAAAAATTA